TTCCTCAAAAGACCTGTCTTCCAGTCCAGGCAGCATCTGGTAAATTTTGTTATACAATGATGCTTCCCATTATGACGAAAAGTTTTAATACAAACCAACTTTAAACCAAGAAATGTTTTAAGAAGCAACACTTGACAGCATCTAACCAATATGACAGATGCAATAATACCTCTGGAACAATCACAAGCAGACATCCACCCCACCCACAAAACCCATCGTTTGCATTTACTTTTTGGTTTTGTTCTTATATTTCTTTCACATTTTCTTACTTCCTTTTATGTCTTTCCAGTTCTAACGTCGCCCTCTCTCCTGAATTTGTTTCTTTGATGCATGTTCTAGGGTTTTTCTTACTCTCCCTTCTACTCACTAATCCCGGCTTCTTTACGTTTTGATTCCTTCAATCATTTTATTCGTGTATGATTTAATTGTTGCAATACATCTTTCACACATCTCTTCTACTACAATCCCAAATAAGGATGTCAAATTATTTTATGATCTGATCAGGGCGTGTAGCTTTCCTCTTAATTTAAAGTAGACAAAGTTTGAGATTCCAGGTACTTACTAACAGGATAAAGTCACAAGATTCTACAGTTTTGAACAAATAAAACAAACCTCATCTTTCCTAGGTTAGAAATGTGAAACAAAATTTATATATACAATTTATATATAACATCTATCTAACATCAGATAAATATATATATTAAATAAATAAAGGCGGTTAGATTGTGGTTTCAATTCAGTGAAGGTAATTCTTTTTTATAGATATATCAAAATGATTTGTAACAGTGACCCAGGTACATCATTTCCAAGAAAGTGTGTGATTCAGTTAAGTGCCTAGCAGGATGCCTGATGTTAATTAATAAAACATTTATACTGCTGAGTTCATGGCAGACACAGAAGACAGTCCAGGAGCCACTCGTCGATTTTGACCTCAGTTCAGAAGAATAACGTTTTCAGTTCAGAAGAGAAGCTTCCTCCGAGCAGAATAATCAAGCTGTCAGTTCAGGAGAACAGTCACCCTAACAAAAGGGTTTTAATTTCTGAAATCCACAAGTTTTGAGAGTTTGTACAGAAGTTTTCAAGCTTCAAGAAGGCTTGAAATTAAAAGGGAGTTCAAGGCCATTGTCACTGGAAAAAAGACCTAAAACTGTCTCAGGAAGCCAAGTAAGAGGACAGTTAAGTAATGAATTAAAGTTTTGAGATCAATGTAATATTTGTCTGGGACTGTGTATCTGTAAAAGGATACTGTTGGGAAATATTTCAAAACTTTGAAGTGCTGGTTGTGTTAGGATCATTCTGAACTGTCAAATATCAAGTTTTGATTTTTTGTGTAATAAACTTGTATTTTTTTCTTAAAGAACATTTGCAGCCTTGTTTAAACATATTCAATGATTAGCCATCATGGTAACCAATCTTTTCTTTTATTCATTCACGGGATGTGGGCATCACTGGCAAGGCAGCATTTATTGCCCATCCCTAATTGCCCAGAGGGCACTTAATAGTCAACCACATTGCTGTGGATTGGAGTCACATGTAGGCCAGACCAGGCAAAGATGGCGGTTTCCTTCCCTAAAGGACATTAGTGAACCAAATGGGATTTTCCTGACAATCAACAATGGATTCATGGTCATCTTAATTCCAGATTTTTATTGAATTCAAATTCCACCATCTGCCATGGCAGGATTTGAACTCAAGTCCCCAGAACTTTACCTGGGTCTCTGGATTAACAGTTCAGAATTAATACCATTAGGACATTGCCTCCCCATTGCAAATAAATAAAGTTATGGTCCATCAAGCCAGATTTCAATCTGGGATCTGAATTGGACAGTATTACTATCAGGTAGTGTTGGGTCTGGTCCAGCGCGGTAGGGGGAAAAGAGACATCAGGCTGGGTACAGTATGAACCAGCAGGAGTGAGGGTTGGTCAGAGTCTGGGAGTATAAGGGGTCTGGTGGAAGTGTAGTTGTGGGTGTGCGAGGTAAGTATAGGGTCTGTTTATCAGTTACTTGGGACTTAGATTTACTTATGTAATCATCTAAACTTTTCCTGGATGCCTATTTTACTTATTTTGATTCAAATCATCCAAAGTTTCTGATTTAAATGGACACTTTTGTAGGATTCCAGGTGTAGTGGAAAATGGGGATTCTGTAGGATCCCAATGCACTACTTCTTTTCAAGCTGAAATAAGGAGCCTCTAGACAGCAGAAAACCCAAGCCATTAACTGATTCTCTACAACAGAGATTCTGTCTAACCTGTTGAGCATTTTCACCACAATTTTTCAGCTTTTTCTAAGACTAACCCTTCCCTTGGACAGCATGATCACCCTTAATAACTTTCCATCCTGTCCCTTCAGCATGCATCAGATAACTTAATTTTAATTAATATTGCTGACGTGATTATCCAGAGTCTCAGGTGACTCCTAGTATTAACGACATTCTTCTCCCACAGTGTCAGTTTTCTCAAAGGCTGGCAGCTCTTGCAAAATTGAATATAACAAGGTATGCCAAATTATCACCCGATAACTGCAAAATGTAAGAACCTGTGGCAAAACAAATTCATCCCTGAATCAGTCACAACAACTTTTGATCAAAGCTTCGTTGGTCTTTGATGGTCAATAAATCACATGCGTTTGTTTTAAAACAGACTGTTTCAATGTTTTAAAGTCTTATTTCACTTTCACCCAATCAGTCAGCTTCAGGCAAATCTTCCTTTATGGAGCACTTTGGAATCCTTTCCTTCATTTATCTTAAGGCTTCTGTCAGATGTATATAAATGTTTACAGAGTGAGTTCATGGATTAAATGATTAATCACTGCAGCCCAGAAGGCTTACTGTACAATTCTGGGGTCATTAACAGAAGTATTTTTAAATTATATTTACTACGACAGTTTCCAAACTGGTTCCCATACAAGAAAGAAATATCCTATTTTGCCTTCAACTTCCATGTGCTCCCTTTAGGTCAGACCATGAAATACCACTCATTTTTCAACTCGTTACACTGGACCAGATTCCATGGACAGCCATCACCCCAGGCAAACACCAACAACCCTGCACCCCCACACCTAATGCAATGGGAAAATAACACTAAATTACATTGGCGCAGCAATATGCCATCATTGCGCCAGTCTCCACAATAATGCGTGGCATACAGCACCAAAATCAGAAGTCCACTCTCCTTGTTAAAATGACCAGTTAACAAGCTATTGAGATTGTTAAAGAGCCACTCGGACATTATTTTTCATTGCAATTTTCGGGCATCAGACAGGGGATGGTTTGGGAGTGTTTTACAGCTGTTATCACGAGGTGGCACAAAGCAGGAACTAAAGATCCTGCCACAGTGACCAGGGCTGCAGGTGGCAGTAGATTTAGCTGGTGAAGGTGGCAGTGCCCCTATGGTTTATGATTTATTTTAGCTTGCAGAAAGAAAGAGACTCAGAGAGCCAGGGGTCCTTCAACACGATTGAACTGTTCTTCATGGCCAAGCCACTCTGCTATATAAGGTCTTGGGCTAGACTCCTAAT